GCATCGTCATGCATGGCTGTGTGTGTGTGTTTATTGTGATTAACCACTTCATACAAGTGTAGTAATTTCTAGTGGAGATAATACTTATTCTCACAAACCATTGTTTCATAGCATAACCAGTTGAGTTTGACTTAAAATGGTCATGTGGTTTCTACTGAATCTGGGCTCCATACTTAGAACTCCCCCCCCCCCCATTCCTGGGTCGTTCTCGGATCAATTCCTTTGAAGATATCTTGGATGGACTTTCTGGCTATATTTTGTGAAATTAGGTTTTAGTAGTCAAGGATACTTTAAAGATCAAAATGATATAGCACGTGACTAATGCTACATCCTTATTTCAGCTAAATACTTGGAATTAGAGTTTTTCTCAAGTCGTTTCTTCGCCAGGGCGAGAAAGGCTCGTTAGAAATTTGCCTACATGGCGCCGAAGTTGAAATCGTGGGTTCGTTAATAGTAAGGCTTTGTTCTTATACCTGAAGACTGGATCATCATTTTTTCCCTTCGGATTTAACGGAAGGAGTTTAGATTTCGTTATTGTTGGCTTGTGAGTAATACACTTTGAAGTGGTAAAACTTGGATTAAAAGAATCCTGAATCGAATTTAAGAAAGTTTGCATTAATTGCTTTTAGAAAGTCCATTCGAGCCATGACTAAATTCCTTCAAGTTGCCATGTTCTTAAATTCCTGGATCTTTATGCAAGTATGTTAAAATGATTCAAGTTTCATCATGAACTTAGGGGGATATTTTTTTATCTTAAGGTGATAAGGTAGCATGTTTTGGCTTGTGGATTCCACGTGATTTCAAAGATTGGTTCATAACGTTTCGAGTTAATCAAATTTGATTGGACTAAGATGGTAAGGATGGTGAATTTAAAGTCCACTTTTAGAGACTACTCAAAAGTCGAGGTACAAATTCATTTGAGGTCTTAAGTTCAAATACAAGACGTCAAGATACGACATTTGTTTCCAAGTCAAACCCAATTCAGAATGTCAAGTTTGAAGGTTCTGAATATAAAATAACACTAGATTTGAATTCAAAATTGTTTGAAGTCATTTACAAGCCACTTGAAGACACAAGGGTTCTATACAAGTTTGAAGGCGTTCAGGACACAAACATTTCGAACTTTTGTTTCATTTCTATGCCTTGATTAGTCTTATAACTAAGATGTCACTGCCAAAGTAGGATAACCCTATCCGAGCATATTTTCTTTGTCCGACATAAAACACCTAAAGAAAGTACAACATAAGAATTTTTTTCAGCAATGCCATCTTATTAGACAATAAATACTAAAATGCCACACATTTCAAACTTAATACCAAAATGCCATCTTTTCAAACAAACTTAAAGCACTGCCGCCCTTTCAATGGGCGGTTATGTTGTTTTTATTAGGCACCCGCCCTTTTAATGGGCGGTTGAGTTCATTCCAAATTTTTTTTTCGTTTTATGTTATTTAATTTATTTAGTATAATAATTATTATTATTATTATTAATAATAATAATTATTATTATTATTATTATTATTATTATTATTATTAATAACAATAATTATTATTATTATTATTATTATTAATTATAATAATTATTAATAATAATAATAATAATAAAAATAATTGAATTAAAAATAATGTATTTTAAAATACTTAGTTTTAATTATTTTTAATTTAATTAGTAATAATAATAATTGATGTAGAAATAATGTATTTAGTTTTAATTAATTTAAATTAATTAGTAATAATTATAACTGAATTAGAAATATATAATAATATTTATAAAATAAATAACAATAAAAGAACTAAAATAAATATTTATTAATTTTTGAAATTTAATATGTACATTACAATTCCTATTGACCCTTAACTAATTTCGACCCGGTCGACGTAAGCGTTGGTGGGTTCCACAGGTAGGAGCTTGTACATTTCTGGTGGACCTTCTACGATCAACCTCAGCGTTTTGGGTCTGCGTAGATGGTTCTGCATCATTGTTAGGGTTCATGAATTGAGCGACCAAATCATCATTGAAATCGTCGTCAGCTGGTATCGCTGCCGCACTTCCATAACTTAATCTTGTACCCTCGTTACTCCAAGTTGGTGGGTTTATAGGTGGCGTCGCGTTAGTCATGTAGGGGGTGTATGGATGTTGGTCTTGAGAAAGGGTGAAGTTTTGTGAAGGGTAAAAAGGAACTTGTGGTTGGGGTGTTTGGTAGTTATGTTCTTGTTGGGTAGGTTGAGAGAATGAGAATTGGTTATATTGGGTGTATGATGAGGTTGGGTTTTGTTGTTGGATGTTGAAGGGGTTTGGGTTAAATGATGTGTAAGGTTGATTGTAGTGTTGGCTTGGGGTATAAGGTGGTTGTGTTGGGTTTGGGTTGAATGGGGTGTTAAATATTTGTTGTGGGGTGTTAAATATTTGTTGTGGGGTGTTAAATATTGGTGGTTGGGTGTCATAAGTCATGGAGGGGGTGTTTTGGAAGTTTGATGAAGTTGGTTGGTTTCGAGGGTCCCACAAGTATCTATTTTGTGATAGATACAAATTGGTCACAGATCTATACCAACTCATGTATTCTCTACTTGGTTTACATTCGGCATCCATGACATTTCCTCGTAGAACAGTGCGGCGACGATCCATCCATTGTTGTCGTTCTTGTCTGTTATGGTCTCTCCAATCATCGAATTTCCATTGGTCGTTCACTGCACTCTTGTGGTACGTATCCATGCATGTAGGTGGACCAGGAATGTCTTGTTTAATTCCGAATTGGAGTTTCACCCTATCTGAATGATGCATTTCAACAATAGTGAAAGAAATTATGAATGTTGTAGAACTCCACATATCGCTTTCAGTTGGATCCTCATCTTCAAGTTCAAGATAGGGTCTCCATAGAAACTATAATATAATTAAAAAGGGATTAGAGGAAAAAATATGGAAAGTGCTAGCAAGAAAATAAGGGACTAGAAACAATACATCATCTTCCTCAAAATGATCGAAGAACGTCCGATACCCAGGAGCACAATGATGCGGAGTTTTTTCGTAATTCATCCCATACGCGGACCACCTATAAAAGAAACAGTTAGTAAAAATTATAGAAGAAAATAATATATACACAAACTTTGTATACTCACTTGGTTGCGTATGGAAAGTGAAATGGATTGGGGTTGATCGGTGACAGTCTGGGCATTCTGGACCATCCCAGGCTTGAATCAAAACACCACAACCAGCAAAATTATGCACATTTTTCATTGCGCATCTACACAAATTTCTGTATAGATGCGCTAATGTAGCAGCGCCCCAACTATAATTACTCACTTCTCTGAAATCTTCTAATAATGGTAAATACTGAAGATGTATAGTATTACCATTAGTATCCGGAAATAAAAAAACACCCAAAAAGCAAAAGTAAATAAATTCTAGTCTTATAAATTTTTTGTTCCTCGGGAGACTCATTGGTTATGGTCAAGTTGCCATAAATTCTTTTTAGCCAAGTGATTTTAAGGCTTTGGCCCTTCCTATCACCTCGTTCTAAAGGCACCCCCAATAGTTGTTCCACTAATTCATAGTTAACGTTGGTGCTACCCACAACCGCTGAGCCATTGACACGGAGACCCAACAACATATGGACATCCTCAAGTGTCACTGTGCATTCCCCAGTGGGAAGATGAAAAGTGTGGGTTTCGGGTCGCCATCTTTCGCACAACGCGAGAAGAAATTTGCGATCAATCCCGTATGATGTTATCTTGATGACGTGACCGAAACCCGCTTGAATCAAATACGGTAGGATAACCTCATCAGGTTCTATAAACTTATGAGAGCGTGGTTTGAAATTTTTTTCATCCTACAAAATAAAAATTAAGTAACACCATAAGTAACAGTTTATAGAATATAGTAACAGTTATAACATAAGTAACAGTTATGGTGTGTAACATTATTAGAGTATAGCATAAGTAACTTACAATAATAGAATATAACATAACTATTAGAATATAACATAACTAATTTTAAATAAATAGAAGCTAACTTGCATAATTTGCAACGTTTTCAATTGTACCACGGTGATCATCTCCTAAGGTAAGTAAAACCATTTTTGAGAATGGAATTTAGTTGTAGAAGTTGTTTGAAGTTGTAGGAGAGAATTATAATTGTAAGAGAGAATTATAATTGTAAGAGATAAATGTGTTTGAAGTTGTAGGAGAGAATTATAATTGTAAGAGAGAATTATAATTGTAAGAGATATATGTGTTTGAAGTTGTAGGAGAGTATTATAATTGTAAGATATAAATAGGTAAATATGTAGGAGGTAATTAATTTTGTGTTGGTATAAAATTAAAAGGTAATTAATTTCTGCATGCATAGAGTTTAATTTTTTGCATGCATAGGTACGTGTAGGCTGCATGGGCGCAGAGTGTTAAAGACTTTGACCACCGCCTATTGAATGGGCGGCTGTGTCTCTTTTTCGCTGACACCCGTATTTGCAATGGGCGGTTGTGCTTATCTTTCGCTGACACCCGTACCTTGAATGGGCGGTTGTCTTCAGACATAGTAAATGCTTTTCAGACAACCGTATTTGGAAAGGGCGGTTGAGTGTTAAAGACTTTGACCACGGCCTATTCAATGGGCGGTTGAGTGTTAAAGACTTTGCTTTCACGTGACTGCATGGCTGGTTCTACTATTTGCCTCTTATAAAATTTAATCATACAAAATATTTTTCTTCCCAAATAATTCTACTATCTCAAATTCTACTCAAACAATTCCAAATAATTCTACTCAAACAATATTTTTCTTCTACCTCTATTACTCCAATTCTACTATCTCAAATTCTACTCAAACAATTCCAAATAATTCTACTCAAACAATATTTTTCTTCTACCTCTATTACTCCAATTCTACTATTTCAAATTCTACTCAAACAATTCCAAATAATTCTACTCAAACAATATTTTTCTTCTACCTCTATTACTCCAAATTCTGCTACTCCAAATTCTACTACTATCTCCACTTCATATTACATAATGTCTAGTGCTCAACAATATATTGTTAATGCCCATTTTAATGGAAGTGTTGTTGTATCAGATGAAGTGGGTTTGATTTTTGAAAACACTGACGTAATTCGTTTCGCTGTTAATAGAAGATCATCATTCCAACATTTTAAAGAAAGAGTACAGATGAAGTTGCAAGCTGGATCAGTGTCACAGATGACGTACAAAAATGTCGTCCGTTTCGGCGACAATCGCTTTAAATTTGTTCCACTGAAGATTCGTGACGACGAGGATGTTGAAACGATGTTCTCGAATCATGAATGTTGTGGGTTTCAGGACATTGATTTATATATAACATTTGCACAAGTTCAAGAAACGCAGACTTCTCAGGTGATCAATCCATCCATAATTCCACACGAAGATGTTGAAGAAGGAGACGGCGAAGAAGAAAACGAGGCACAAGTTGATGATTTATATACTACCTTGTTTGAGGAAGGGAACGAAGTCAACATAGATGATCAATGTGTTCCAGTTGAAAATGTATTCATCCCACCAGCGCATATGACAACCCTGCCACTAAGCGTAGAAGGAACATCATTTGATTGGCCACAGAATCCTCGTTTTCCCGCGGAAGGTGACATAGAAGTCGGTTACCAATTTAAAAATAAAGCTGACTGTGTCGCTGCCATTAAGCAATACCACATGAAACACTGTGTGGATTACAAAGTGATAGATTCCGACAAGAAGAGATACATAATTTGTTGCAGGAATGATTCCTGCAAGTTTCGTCTCGTGGCGTCCTACCGAAAAAGAAGTGAGTTGTGGGAGATAGGCATTATGAACCCACCCCATAGTTGTTCAACAACTTTGTTTAATCAGGATCATCAAAAACTAACCTCGCAGTTAATGTCTCAAAAATTAATGCCTTTTGTAGACAGAGATCCTTCTATTAAGGTTAGTGTTTGCATAAGTAAAATTGTTTCCGAATTCCATTTTACTCCGTCTTACAGAAAGACATGGATAGCAAGAAATAAGGCAATTGAACAAGTCTACGGTAACTGGGAAAGCTCGTACAATGAACTTCCACATTTTCTGTTAGCACTTAAAAAATATGTTCTGGGCACTGTGCTGGAAATAGAAACACTACCCATGCATACATCTGACGGAACTATTGTTGAAGGGAAACACATCTTCCACCGGCTATTCTGGGCATTCCAACCATGCATCAGAGGTTTTGCCTATTGCAAACCTATACTTCAAATTGATGAAACCTGGTTATACGGTAAGTACAAGGGTACACTGCTTATCGCAGTTGCACAAGATGGGAACAGCAACATATTTCCGGTTGCTTTTGCCCTTGTGGAAGGTGAAACCGCTGAAGGCTGGGGTTTTTTTCTGAGAAACTTAAGGAGGCATGTCGCCCCACAACCAGATCTATGTTTAATTTCAGACCGACATGCATCAATTGAAAGTGCATACAACAATGTGGAAAATGGTTGGCACGATCCCCCTTCAGTGCATGTTTATTGTATCCGACACATTGCACAAAACTTTATGAGAGAAATCAAGGACAGGAACCTACGGAAAAAAATAATTAACATGGGTAACTATATTTCTTAATATTCATTAAATTTTGTCATTAACATATATTATTTTGTCAATATTTTAATTTGATATTTTAATTATTCAGGATACGTTTTAAACCAGCCAACATTTCATTACTATCGGTCAGAGATTGGCATGGCAAACCAGCCAACATTTCATTACTATCGGTCAGAGATTGGCATGGCAAATGCAGATGCTTTAAGGTGGATTGACAATATTCCAGCCGAAAAATGGACAAGGGCATTTGACGGCGGTCGACGTTGGGGTCACATGACTACCAACCTTGTCGAGTCAATGAATGTCGTCTTTAAGGGCACACGTAATTTGCCCATTACGGCATTGGTAAGGGCAACGTATTATAGACTAGGATCTTTATTTGCTGAAAGGGGTGGAAAGTGGAGTGCTGTGTTGAATTCTGGCCAAGCATTTACAGACAACTGCCTCAAGGTTATGAAAGAAGAAACAACAAAATCCAGCACGCATCAAGTCAGAATTTTTGACTACAGGAACAATGTTTTCAGTGTGCAAGAGACAATGGACCATGGTGAGGGGAAACCTATGGGACATTATAAGGTCGACCTCTTGAACGGGTGGTGTGACTGCGGAAAGTTTCAAGCATTTTGTGTCTCTTGCTCACATGTTATCGCTGCATGTTCGAATGTGCGCCACGACGCTTATGCTCTTTTGTCCGACTTTCCAGTGATGCCATGCGATGAATATTGGCCTGTTTATGAAGGAGATCAAATTTGCCATAACCCAAGAATGCGGAGGAACAAGAAAGGTCGCCCTGTAAGCACACGTATTACAACAGAAATGGATAACTTTGATAAGCTTGAGAGGAAATGTTTCATGTGTCGTCAAACGGGACACAATCGCACCCGGTGTCCCAATGTGAAAACAAGTAGTTGTTAGTCCTTTTATTAATCATCATGTATTAATTAATATTAGTTAATAATTTCAATCAATATAAATTATGTCTTCAATATATAAATTTAAATTAATATTAATAATAGTGTCACATAATACATATACTAATAAATACTAATATTATTAATATTAATGTATATTAATATTATAAATATTAATAATATTAATTTTAAAATATATTAATAATATTAATATAAATATATATTATTATTAATATTATTAATACTTATATTATTAATGACATAAATATTAATATATATTAATATTAGTAATATTAATATATATTATTATTAATATTATTAATCTATTTTGATAATAATATATATTAATAATAATACATATAAATATTTAAAAATATATATTAAGATATATTTATAATAATATATATAAATACTTATATTATTACTAATATAAATATTAATATATATTAATATTATTAATATTAACATATATTAAAATTTATATTATTAATCTATTTTTATAATAATATATATTAAATTATTAATCTATTTTTAAAATACATTATTTCTAATTTAATTATTATTATTAATAATTATTATAATTAATAATAATAATTATTATTATTATTATTATTATTGTTATTAATAATAATTATTATTATTATTATTATTATTAATAATTATTATTATTATACTAAATAAATTAAATAACATAAAACGAAGAAAAAAAATTTGGAATGAACTCAACTGCCCATTGAAAGGGCGGGTGCCTAATAAAAACAACATAACCGCCCATTGAAAGGGCGGCAGTGCTTTAAGTTTGTTTGAAAAGATGGCATTTTGGTTTAAAATGTGTGGCATTTTAGTATTTATTGTCTAATAAGATGGCATTGCTGAAAAAAATTCACAACATAAAGTTTGAATTACAAATACCAACCAAAACAATGCGCTACTAGTCTATCATTATGCTACTGCTAGGAACACCTTTAGAATTGGAATTGGCGCCTCATAACTTTGTTCGGTTGGAGATAGAAACTCATCGACTGGATAAGTTCACCTAAGTCCGTCGTGAATGTCTTCACAGCTCACAACATCATCACCCTCAAAGAAGCGTTCTTTAGATGTCGGATACAGCTGTATGGTGTTTTGACAGAACTCCTTAGCCCACCTTTTGTTTTGCTTGAAACTCTCACTGCCGGCTTGGCCACCAACAAATTTCAGAGGTTTAGATAGTTGAACATATATATTTGGTGTTGAAAATAGATTTGGTTCAAAGAATTTGATGAAGATTGGAACAAAGAGTTTTTTCGTCCGAGATCTTCCATAGGAGGTGAATGGCGCAGAAAATGGCAGGTGGAATCCTGAGCTTATGTCCACATCACTTTCCAAACTTGCTGGGAGTTTGCACCAGATCAACATACCATACTCCAGCAAACATTACTCTCGAGGGCCAATCATATTACAAGCCAATGTAAAAGAATGAAAACAATAGCATTACATTGCAAACACAGCAGGTGTTCATTTCTGGTTTTTTTGAATTCAAGCCATGTTTGCAAGACGAAATTCCTCTTCAACCGTATCCGGTCACTCCCGTCCGAATGTGTGTATGAGAATGACTCTTTATCCTCACTTCCATCAAAAGGGAACTGCCTAAATCCAGCGTATTAATGAGGCTTCACAAGCACAACGTTTTGCGACCATTACACTACTGCCAAAGCCATCCGCTACCTGGTTACGACACAACGAGTTTAAGACAAAGATTCAGTATTAATTCTGAAAGAAAACAAACATGGAGAACAGAATGAAGAATAGCAGATACCAGCCACTTACATGACTCACCATCTCATGTATTATCATGTATTAAGGTCGCCTAAGTTTGTCCGAAAAACCCATCGCCTCATGGATAACTACAATGGTTAACCTGCAAATGGAGACAAAGCCTCCGAAAAAGAAGAAAAGCATAATACTCACGCATTCTCAGGTGGAGATATTGCGAGAATCCTAGAGATTTGATGAAGAACACTGTTATGCTATCCTGAAAATAATAACAACAAATCTTTCATTTAGTTTGGTGAATCCCTGAGATTATTCTGAGTACAGATCAATCGAAATGAAAACAATCGAAATGAAAACAATCGAAATGAAAACAATCGAAATGAAAACAATCGAAATGAAAACAATCGAAATGAAAACAATCGACCCTCCTCATTGATAGTCGTGAATTCACAAAACAGGAGAGTTTTTTTCCCAATACAAGGTCGAGACATGTTCACAGCATGAAATCAATTTCGTTTTCTTTCTGAAATCGGTTCCAACATATTAACTAGCAGTTAAAATTGGAGGAATTTGAAATCTATAAAAGGAGAAGAAACAAGACAGCAATGACCTCACATAGAAACCACATAACCGCGTTTGAAATATAGCAGAGGATTTCACAATACCGCCGTCACTTACCAATTTCATGTTCGCATGTACTTACAAGAAATTCGCGCACATGGCAAGGATATTTGAAGAAATTTGCGAAACCTTCTTCACACGCAAAGGTCATCGCACGCCGTCAGAATCTCTGTGAAACTTCCTGGAGCTTCCTGTCGCCGTTCCATTGCCGGTTGTCGTTTAAAGCTTCGCAGGTTGCCTTTGAAGCTCCGTTTGTTTTTGAGAAGAGGCTAGGGTTTCGTTTTTATGGCCTCTCTGTTTTCCCTTGTAGACAATGAACACCGCTGGAACGGGTGGTGGGTGACCCGACTACATTACCGCTTTGTTTCCCTTTCCATCCGTGTGGGCCTCACTCGGCCCAGTATTTCGCAAGCCCCTCCCCCCTTTTTTTGTTTCTGTTTTTTTGTTTGTTTTGGTTTTCTCAAATTAACCCTTTTTTTTAATGAGTTTAATTTAAATTCAATTACTTAATTTTAAGCTAAAATCAATTTAACTATTAAACAATTTTTTTTCAAATATAATTTTAATTTAATTTTAAATGACTTTAATCTAACAGTCCAATCTTAATTATAATATTGAAAGTCAATTATTTTGTTAACTTTATTTCAAGATTCATATTATATTGTTAATTTTGTCTTAAAAATTCAATTGTATTGGTTGCATCTTTTGATTTGGAAAACTCATTTATAATTGTTAGAATTTTGTCTAATAAATTTAATTATCTTGTTTAAACCTTGATCCAAATTACAATTGATAAATTCTGACTTGAGATCCATTTTACTGTTAGTAATTTTGGTTAAAAATATTTAATATGAATTCAACTGTAACTGTGCGTGCGATGTTTAAGTAGTAATTTCGATTGAATCACGATTTTTGGAACCATGAGCTTTAATTTTAACTCGCATGATTCGTTACCTGATTGTTGATTTAAATTATGCTGTCAAGTCTTGGTGTATCCTATTTTGTTTTTCTTTGTTAATGTGATTCATCACGTCCAAAGGAAGAACCCGTGCATGACTTTCTTAAGTTGTACACGTTGCATCTCATTTGAATCAGGCTCCCCCGCTTGATCCTTGAGTTTTCAAGTCGATCAGCTTAGGAGTTATTGTAACAGCCCGATTTTTCATTAATTAATTATTTGCATTAATTAATGGGTTAATGAGAATTATTTAATTGATGGGTAATTAATTAAATAAATTAATAGATGTTAGAGTGAATTAGAAGAGAAAGACATATTAAAAAGGAGAGTGGAAAGAAAAAGGGAAAGATAGAAACATAAAGGAAAGAATAGGGAAAGAAGGAGAAAGAGGAGAAAAGAGAAGAAGAAGAGGGAAGAACTTGGAATCATCAAGAACAACTCTCAAGTTTTGGATTAATCAAGGTAAGGGTGTGAAATATCATTATCTTAACAATGTATATAAATATGTATGCTTGGGTTAGAGTATTGGATGTTTTTCTACAACTTCCATTTTAGGGCATAAATGGATTAATCGGTAGAATCTGAGTTTTCACGGTGGAAAATGAGAATAAGTGGTAGTATTTAGTCGGGGGATGTTAGACTAAGGTTACAGAACTTGTTCGGTGAGAATCGGTTGGTTTGGAGAGTTTTGGTGGAAGTTGGACAGTGAGAAATTCTGAGTTCGCAGACATTCGCTAGCGTGTTCGCTGAGCGAGCTGGTAGCGAAGGTTCGCTAAGCGAGCTAGTAGCGAGCCAATAGCCAACGGTCCCAGACTTGGACAGAATGTATTTTGTCGTGTTCGCTGGTAGCGAAGTGGGTAGCGAAGGTTCGCTAAGCCTTCGCTGAGCGAGCGAGGTAGCGAACAAAGTCAGTAGCTTCTGTTTGCCTTCGCGAGCTTGTTCGCTGGGCGAACAAGTAGCGAATACTCGCTAGGAGCTCGCTAAGAGAGCAGGGTAGCGAACGTAACAGATTGTGTTTTCTTTAATGTTTCCATCCGAGGTCGGATTTCTGACTCAATTATGATTATTTTCCTTTGCTCGAGGCATCGATTATACCGAGATGTATTATATTGTGGGTAGCCTTATGGCGTGAATCCTAGATTGTTGAATTAATTGAATTATGGTCTTTTGACAAAAGTTATACATTGTTTAATGTGATTAAAAATGTATTGAGAATGCATGAGAACATATTGTGTATATGTGTGCATTGCTTGAAAATATATTGATGATATATGTAAATGTGTTGTGTGCAATCATTGTTATAATTCTTGAAGAGATGAATTATTTGAATGCATGAGATTAAGATGTTGGTCTTAAGTGCATTTGATTGTTGATTGCATATGCATCATTTAGTCAAGAGGCAATGCTTGCTAGTTTCGTGGAGACTAGTGACTTGTCTCAAGCCCCGAAGAGTGGGTTTGAAAGCTTAGAGGACGGGCTTTTGGTGGTTATCGGTCTAGAAGAGTGGACCCGATTTAATGTAACCTGAAAAAAGATAACAAGTGTTGGTACCACATGGCATGAGTTTGCATTGAGTTGTATTGAGTCACATCGCATGAATGTCATTGTTGTATGAATTATGCTTGTGTGTGGAAATCGTGGACTATGTATAATTGCGTGTGTGCATGTTG